GGGAGCTTGAGCGCGTGGTGGACAGAGGCGGGTCCGTGGCAGCAGCCTCTGTCTGTGCGGGGTGGGGTGGGGCAGTCCTGAGCTCCTTACAGCCTTTGTCCATGGGAAGCTCGGAGCCCTGCGGATGAGGGCTACTGCGTCTGTATCAGAGGCAGCAATGCAGGGTGGCAGAGGACACCCCAGGGGTGAGGCTGGGAGTGCACTGACTGCCAGTCTCACCGCGGGGAATATTGAATAGTTGTATAACTGCTAGGCTACGTCTAGACTACATGGCTCTGTCGACGGAGCCATGTAAAATAGTTTATTCGGCATGGTGAAAGAAGCGGGGATTATTTAAATCGTTTCATGAGGCATACCGGAGTGGTTGACAAAGGCTTCCTTTGTCGACTGCGCCGTGTCTGGACTGCTGCGCTGTGCCGGATTAGCTGATCGTCGGCACAGTGTGGCGGCCATTTTTATTTCAATTAAGTGGGGATTATTTAAATACCCCCTTTTTTTGACTGTGCTGAATAAACTTTTACATGGCTTCGTCGACGGAGCCATGTAGTCTAGATGTAGCCCTAAAATTTCAGGTGGTTACATGACTATTCAGTTACACGATATCGAAAGTCCCTAACCTCTGTTGCTGTATCTCACGTAATTATAGTGTCACTCTGTTAATTTCTGGGCCCTGATTTCACTCCTACTACACAGTCCCCAGGGGAATTCTGCGATTGTTGCATTTGCTGCATTCCCCAGGCCTATCACAGAGGAGTTGAGAGGCTGGTTGGATAGGGTGTGTGATCTGACTAATTGAACCAAGGCCTGCCTGTAAAGATGCCAACAGGAGTCTACAACCCTGAAAATGCTTCTGTCACTCTTTGACTGTAGTGAATTTTGTTCTCCCTGTCAACTGGAGTAAGCTCCTCTCACACCTACATGTTAGTTTTCTTCCACTATTTGATCTGAGGAAGTGGGTCTGGCCCACGAAAGCTCATCACCTAATAAACCATCTTGTTAGTCTGTAAAGTGCTACATAGTCCTGTTTTTTGTTTCAGCTACACCAGACTGTCTCACACACACTCTCACTCTCATCTTGAATCAAAGACTTTGAACACTGGAAATGTAACGTCAAAACCAGACACAATCTTGGACTTCCATCACTGGACACACACAAGAAGCTAGAGCTTTTGCAAGCTGAGAAAGGTGGGTCCTTCAACGTAGGCAAGGAGATTGAAGTTTCGAAAGCTCATCACCTAATAAACCATCTTGTTAGTCTTTAAAGT